CAGGAATGTAAAGCATCTATGCCCTCTAGCTAATACTCTAGTTTCTATCTTTTACATAGAAGTGGAAAAGACTGCACTAAAATCTACATAATTTTAGTTTAGCTCCCAGATAGAGATCATGTATTAATGGAGAGACATATAGGTACAAACTGTCCTCTCTGTGGATGTCAGTGTGTTGCAGGATAACAACAGATCTGAAAATAATCTGAGGAATTAGAGAAAGGAAATACTTCCTAGGTCACTTAGAATATCCTACCTCGGTGCATGAATGTTGAATGCTCTGCCCGGTCAAGTTTTCAGTGACTCGAGTGATAGAGCTCTCATCAGTGATTCCTTTGGGAAACTATTTCACCATCTGCTACTCTGTAAGGAAAATTTTCCTACTAATGTGACTTGCATTTTCCTTTACTTAATTTTATCTTGGTAATCCAAGTTCTATGTCTGTGGACTGTCCTAAGCACCAACTCTCCTTTTAATGCTTGCAGCCAGTTGGCATATTTCCTCCTAGCAATCAGTTGGTCAGTGCACATAGGAGTAGCTAAATAGAGCTACAGCTTTTCAGCGGCTCCTAAACCAGCCAGTCTAGCCCATTAGTTATTTTTGATGCACTTCTCTAAAATCCATCTAAGCTGCTGATACCTTTACAGTGTTGAACTGCCCAGAACAGAGACTCAGTTTCACCGTGGTCTTTTCTGCTTGCCACATCCCATTTCAAGCCCAAATCTAAGTTGCTGCCAGGTTCTCTCATCATTTTTGTTCTCTCAACACAAAGGGATTCAGCAGTGCAAAATTACTGTTTTCTGTTGTTTAAAGGCTTAAAGCAGAACAAATTTTGGGTTACAGGCATATTTTTGCTTTAAATTCTTATGTTGCAAAGTTGTGTTACAGTTTGATTTAAAATATTTATACTGATATTGAGAGTAACCCAAGAAAGATGTTGTAAAGAAGAAATTCTCTAATCATCTAACCAAGAATTCCTCACATAGCACAGGTTAAAATGGCCACATAAACCCTTTTCCATGTGTCAGCCGGAATATGAAGAAACAATGTAAATATGTGTAGACAATGTCTTGTTTTATTCCATGGAAAATGAAATGTGTATCTGATAAAAATCTTACTCTGTGCAAGCATTAGTCTTCTGTTTGCATTTTCCAAATGTTTTATATTCATAAGTAGCTACAGATGCTTTCAAATAAGAATCTGTAGTTCTGTAGGGTTCTTAGAAGACCTCGTTAAATTGGCAGGTACAAATCTGGACATCTGGAATTACTGTACATTCACCAAATGTCATCTGAAACCCTGCCAGCTGAGCTGCAGTCAAGCTGCTGCAAAAGATGCATCCCACGCATTTCTTTTCCAAGTGCAATTGTTTGCACAGGAACATGATTTTATCCTTTTAAGCCAAGAGAACAAGAGAGTTCTCTGGTCTTGCATGTTTGCTTTCCCGTCTTGGTTCACAACTTTCTACCCTACTCTGGTTAGTGTTCAGCAACAAATCTGGGATACACTGTAGTACAGTAGGAGCTTTACTTGTTTTTATGGAAAGACAAGTTGTACTTAAAGCAGTGATTAGTTGGATTCTTTCTTTCTTGTATACTTCAGTTTCTGATGACTACTAGCTTCATCAGTGTAATTATAATTAGCACTCTTCATCTTCCTTTTATGGTACCAGCTGGACAGATTGGTCCTCTTACTGCACAGATTGGTGGCAGGGTTGCCTACACGGAAATAGGTGACAGGCACCATGAAATAACAGATGGTAAATTCAGGGCTTGTTGGCAATCAGCAGGTTTTTGCTAATGACTTAATTAGCTATGCAAATTGTCAAATCAGTGTGAACATTGTTTTTATCGGAAACTTTACCTAAATTAATTACCATAATTAAGTAGCAGAATGTCAAGTATATTGGATGCGTAAAAGGGCTTGCCTGGCTAGGGATAAGAGAGTTACCATCTCTGTTAGAGAGATGTTACTATACTCCCTATTTCAAAAGTCTGAGCAGATGAAGTACCGTTTCCTGTTAAACTACTTTTAATGTATCAATACTACAGAATGGCAACTTGTTTGTACCCTGAGCAGCCTTGGCAGAAAAAAGTGTGTGTGTGTGTGTGTGCAGAAAAAAGTGTGTATGGGGGGGGCTTGGAAATGAAAACATATTAGAGAAGCTAAAAATACCAGGTAGAAGGTTAAGCCAATTAGTTTCAAAGCCTGATTTTTACATATATCAGGTTTTGAATTTTTAACCTACCTAATATTTTTCATTTCCAGGCCATGTTTTTTTTTTTTTGGCCAAGGCTGCTTGGGGTACACACAAGTTGACATATATAATGCATGGTTTTCACTCTGCTTATATTGCTTATTTTTGGGTTTCTAAGACCAGTGCCATGAACATGCAACTAGAAAAGAATGCTACAGTTTTTCATATATATTTAAAGGCAAGTGAAAATCCATATCATTAGGGTTGTTGGTTGTAGCCATGTTGCTCTATATCATGGCTCCTACCATATAAAAACATTTAATTCCATTGTATGAATGTCACAAAATTAACAGATTCTAATCTTCTAATATGGCTATTTTAAGTTGATTTTCTCTCTCTCAAGGTTTCCATATAACAAATGTTGGGTGCTGTTCACAGGATGTGATGGTGGTAGGAGAACCAACTCTGATGGGAGGCGAATTTGGGGATGAAGATGAAAGGCTTATCACTAGACTAGAGAATACACAGTATGATGCAGCAAATGGCATGGATGATGAAGAAGATTTCAACAGTTCACCTGCACTGGGAAATAACAGCCCTTGGAACAGCAAACCTCCTGCTAACCAGGAAACCAAATCTGAAAACCCAACACCACAAGCTTCCCAATAGATTATTCTGCAGCAGCATCCACTGCAATGTACATCGGTGGATTATAATTACTATTTCAGAGTGTTCTCTAAATAATGAAACACATAAACAAACGCAATCTTTCCCTGGGTACAGTATCTATTTCTAAAACTGCAGCCAGCTATCTGATATTTTTTAATTAGAGAAAAATCATGTGTGAGCTTCCCTGTCTATTTCTTGGAAGCTTTCACATATGACACGATACTGGCACTGACCTCAATTAAAATAATTGAAAATTAAATAGCACCTCATGGCAAATTTCTAACAATACATTTTGTTGGAGGGGGGTTTTTTTCCTCATCAAACGAAGGCCATATTTTAACAAGTCATCAGTGCTCAGGATCTCATTAAGGTAACTATGAAAAACTTTTTAAAATTGTAAAATATTTTCTGCTATTCAACTTGCACCTAAAATTTCTTGTTTCAGAAAAATATCAGCTTTTTTTTAAAGTAAATTAAAATATCCTTTAGTTCTTTCTTTAAATCTTCTTTCATTGGTTAACCATTTAAAGGATCCAGCATTTTTAATTTATATTACAGCTGAGGCCAATAAATAATCCTTCTGTCATTTAATAAAAAGGCTGAAACAAGAAATGTCTCTTTTCATCAAAGACATGAAAAAATATTTTTCTGTGGAGAAAGGCACCCAGTCCTATGAGAGTTTATGCTTTGTAAAATTGCTGCTGATCCAGATATTTTAAAGCCATGTAATCCATTAATTTTGTGGGCAGCTTAATAAATCTAAAACTTTTGTGTTTTTATTATTGTATCTCAGTTGGCTTTGTTGCTATTTCTTTTCATAGTATATTTCTTGTATAATATTTTTTGTAAAGCCCTCAAAGCAGTTAATTTTTTGATTCCAGTGTATTTATGTGAAACTTTATAAAAGAAACTAATTTTTTCATTTACATATTAATATGTTCAACTCATCATGTAAAGACACAGTGAGTCAGTGTGTTATATAATACAACTGTATTTTATGTATGCTTTGCCAATAAGTGTGCCAATAAACTGTGTTAACAAATGTGCTCTTATATAGTGTCTTTCCAAGTTCCTTACAGACACGAGAAGCCCATCAACATACAGCTGATCATGTAACAGAAAGGGGAGATGGAGCTCATCTGAGAGTCTTTGACATAGTTTTATTTCTTGAAATTAGTGTTCCGTCTAATTATCAGCTGTTTCTAGCAAAAAGAGAAGGCTGGAGTTGCAAGGTATACAATACATTATTCACATTTTAATTTGTTTGCATTTTCTCCCTTGACATTAATTATTTATTCAAATGAAAGATTGATTGCCATGGCTTGAGCCAAGCACAAAAGAATGCAGGAAGGTAGAAATAGCACTCAGCCACTCTGCCAAAGCACACTGTTCTTAACATAGACACCCCTGTCCTTCTGATCTTGCCACCCACCTCAGCAGGGACTGTCCATTTTTCTAACTCTGGTGATGGGTCCATAAACTGTTGCTGAAAGGACTGAACATTATTGTTTCTCCATTTCCTATCAATACAAATTGATTTACAAAGCCAACCTGGAACCTAACATACTTGTTGTGATTCTCATAACTTGGTGTGTACATAGTGCCCAAATAGTGCATTCTATAATACTGTCATAAGGAAAAAAGACAGGCAGACAGGGAACATAATTAATATATATATATGAGAAATGCTGTGAACACCTTCAAAAAGTAGAATCCTGCACAGAGAAGGCTTGTGAGCTTCTCAAGGGAATGTATTTTAATCATTCAATGTTTTTAATGCAGAACAGGATTTTACGTAAGGGGCCTCCAGGTTCTTGACCACCTGGGCAATAGTGATCATCGCGTGCTGGAATTCACCATCCAGCGTAGAGTGTCAAGGGCCCGCAGCAAGGTGGTAGCCCTAGACTTCAGAAGGGCCAACTTCAGTGAGATGAGGAGATTAGTGGGAGAGGAACTGGGTTCCTTGAGGGCAGAGGAACTCAGCGTCCAAGAGGAGTGGTCGTTCCTTAAGGAAACGATACTCGGGGCCCAAGGGGTGTCCATCCCTACAAGAAGCAAGGGGGGCAGGAGTGTCCAAAAGCCCCCCTGGCTCACCAAGGGTGTCCGGGAATGCCTGCTTGCCAAAAGGGCGGCGTACGCCCGGTGGAAGGGGGGTGTAATCTCCAAAGAGGAGTATACCTCCTCTGCTCGGGCCTGCAGGCGGGCTGTTAGGAAGGCCAAGGCGGATATAGAGCTCGGATTAGCGTCCAGGATTAAGGATAACAAAAAGTCCTTTTTCAAATATATTGGGAGGATGAAGAAGGCGCCGGGTAATGTGGGGCCCCTGCAGGATATGCGGGGCAATCTGGTGGTTGCGTCAGAGGATAAAGCGGACCTCTTTAACCAATTCTTCACCTCTGTTTTCTTGTGCAGGGAACGGGACTTCCCTGCTGTGGGCTCTACGAGCGATCGTGGTGCTTGGGCCAGGTGCCAGACGATTGGAAGGTAGCTAATGTGGTCCCCATCTTCAAGAAAGGGAAAAGGGAGGACCCGGGCAACTATAGGCCCGTCAGTCTTACCTCAATCCTGGGGAAGCTCTTTGAGAAGATCATCAAGGAGCACATTTGTGATGGGCCGGCATCCGAGATGATGCTCAGGGGCAATCAGCATGGATTTATTAGGGGGAGATCATGTCAGACCAACCTGATTGCCTTTTATGATCAGGTCACAAAGGCCATGGATGCAGGTGTCGCGGTGGATGTAGTCTTTCTGGACTTCAGCAAGGCCTTTGACACCGTCTCTCACCCCATCCTAATTAATAAACTAGGCGACTGTGGCATAGATGCCTACACAGTCAGATGGATTGCAGATTGGCTGAAGGGTCGCACTCAGAGGGTGGTGGTGGATGGATCATACTCGACTTGGGGGGAGGTGGGTAGTGGAGTCCCCCAGGGCTCGGTCCTGGGGCCTGCGCTGTTCAATTTCTTCATCAGCGATCTTGATGTTGGGGTGGAAAGCAACCTGTTTAAATTCGCTGATGACACCAAAATTTGGGGGGAGGTGAGCACGCTAGCAGGGAGAGAGAGATTGCAGAAGGATCTGGATAGGTTACAGGGGTGGGCAAACAGGAACAGGATGTGTTTCAATACGGACAAGTGCAGGGTGCTGCACTTGGGTAGTAGGAACCAGCAGCACACTTATACGATGGGGAACTCCCTACTTGAGAGCACGGAGGCGGAAAGGGATCTTGGTGTCATTATTGACTCCAAGATGAACATGGGCCGACAATGCGAGGTCATGGTTGGCAGGGCTAACCGGACCTTGTCGTGCATCCACAGGTGCATCTCGAGTAGAGCCAGGGAGGTGATCCTCCCCCTCTATGCGACGCTGGTCAGGCCGCAGCTGGAGTATTGTGTCCAGTTCTGTGCGCCCCATTTCAGGAGGGATGTGGACAACATGGAGAGGGTCCAGAGGAGGGCCACCCGCATGATCCGGGGACAACAGGGCAGACCCTACAGTGAGAGACTGCGGGACTTGAACCTATTCAGCCTCCACAAGAGAAGGCTGAGGGGGGACCTGGTGACTGTCTATAAACTCACTAGGGGGAACCAGAAGGGTTTGGGGGAGACGCTGTTTCCCCTAGCCCCCGCTGGCATAACAAGGAGTAATGGGCACAAGTTGATGGAGAGGAGGTACAGATTGGACATCCGGAAAAACTACTTCACAGTTAGGGCGGCTAGGAGCTGGAACCAACTTCCAAGGGAGGTGGTGCTGGCCTCTACCCTGGGGATCTTTAAGAAGAGGCTGGATACTTACCTGGCTGGACTCATTTGAGTCCCGTTTTTGTTTTTAGGGTGAGTTTTTTTTTGGGTTCTTCTCCCGCCCTGGCGGAGGGTCGGGCTAGAAGATCTATTAGGTCCCTTCCGACCCTGAAACTATGAAACTATGAAACTATGTATGTCCTGAGGATGACAGTTCTCACTGTTTCTTCCTGTGATATGCACACAACTAAGGCTCCACCAGCTTATTGAGAGATCCAGGAATTTAAGCAGTTTGGGTGTGTACACACAGACTAAGACGAATTAAAATAAGGTGACTTATCTAAGTCAAATTAAGTTAAACCACATTGGAGCGTACACATGTACAGGTCCTTGACATGTTGGCAGCCATCTTGTGAGCTAAGTCGATTTAACTAATGCGACTCAATATAATATACCTCGGGGTGTATTAGTTTGCTCCACATGTAAGTCATCTCTGCTCCACATACAAATGTACACTCTGACTCTTTAACACTTTAAAAAATTAAGTCATGTGAACAGTCAGGAAGTTAGTACATGTATACGCACCCTTTGTGACTATAAAATAATATAATCCTGGTTGCCATTTTGAGCTAACTGACTGGACAGTGCAAACTGATAACAGAAATATATTATTAGTATATTTAGTTCTAGATACTTTAATCCAACCTCTAGATTTTCTGAAGATGGATTCATAATTTTGGACCTTTGGGGCTGGAGGGACTAGATTTTACAGAAGGCACCTTTTGGCATTAGATTATTAGTTTATTTGGAAAGCAGAATTGGAAGCTTCATCCCAGAATTTAGGAGTTCCTTTTTTTCTGACTTCCTGTTAATCTTCCTATAATAAAATAACCTCAGACCAGGAGTTTGTGTCTGGCATTTTGTTTCCATTCCCAGGGTCCCATCACGTGCATGCAGCTGATAATAAAAGGTGAGAAATAAGGTCCCATTCCTTCCATGACAACTGCCTCTGAGGTCCAGCAGCAAACAATGACTGTAATCTTGAATATTTAATTCTATTGTTTGTAACCAACATTTTTGTGCTTTGCAACTCTACATTATATGGGGATAACAAACTTCTTTTCCTGTTAGTTGTTACAAATTACCTGAAGCTGTACTTGTTCCTAGGTTGAAGCCCTGCAAAAAAAACAGGCTGTGTAGTTAGTTTGTGGACAAGCAGTTCGGAAAAAAATCTTACTAGATTTGTTTCAGGCCTATAGGTGTAAAATCATTCTGAAAAGCTGTAGATTTCTAAAAATATGCTGAATGAATATGAAAGGTGCCTAGAAGATTAAATTCATGCTCCTAATTTGATTAGGCTCATTTGTGGCTTTTTCTGTTCATGTTCACACATCATAAACAGATTTAAATCACTCTTTAAGGCCCCAAGTTGGGAAAGGCTCCCTAGCCAGCAAAACACATAAGCACATGCTTAGCTCCCTTGTTGAATAGGGATGAATTTAGGTACTTCACTGAATTGGAACCGGATCCAAAGTCTGTTGTAGTTAATGAAAACCCTCATTTTTGGACTTCAGATTAGGGCTTAAGTGCAAAAAATGCAAGAAGTTACTTATCCTACAGTAATTGTAGTTCTTCAGGAACTATTGTCCACACAGATGCTGCTCTAGGAGCCTGGTGTGTGCAAAGTTAGAGTATCTTCAAATAATAACAGAATCCATTTGGATTGTGCCCCCTCGGTATGGTCATTTAGTTTAGTTTAGTTTTAGAAGTTGAGAGATTCCTTTCAGATAAAGAGAACATGAATTGAGTGCGTCTAAAATAATAGTGAAGTTGTTCCTTTTTAATATTTGCAGAATGTGGAGACAGTGAGTCTATCAATCAGTGAATTTATCAACAATGATTTTTCTCTGTAAATAATTAAATTCAAACTGTATTCCATTAAGGAATTACTGGCTCATACATCACTGCAATAACATTACAATTACACACTTTAATTCTAATGTTCTAAAACACTAATCATTCACATTACATTTCCATAAACACACTTAAAAAGCATTCCTTATTATTAATCTTTTAAGACTGGCACTACCATTTTAATTTTTAAAGGATCTGTAATGTGATATTGCTCTTGTCATTTCAATAAATAAACATAGAAACATTTTGAAAAATGAATAACTGGCTGTTCAGAGTGCCCTCCTTGAATTAATTAAGGTTCTTTCCCCATCCCTCTTCAAAACTTGACCTCCAAGATATCCATCCAACCTTGGCAGTTAATTTGAATGGCAGGAGAAGACAGCCAAT